TACTCATGCAACACACATAAGGCTTCTTTTGGTGAAATAGCTTCTAAAATGGCAACCTAGGCTCATATCTCGAAAGGAACAACATAAAGCCGAATGATTGGGACTCTGTGGACCTCTTAAGGTCCAGATCTAAGACTTTCTCCACATTGGGACCTCATATGCATCATATACTATCTAAGAAGGGTAAAGAAAACCCTAGATTCAAGGATTTTACACAAAAACAGAAGGAAGGGGCGAAATACTACCTCAAATGGAGATCCTTGCTTAGATGTCTCAGAATAACAACCTTCTTTGGTCCTTCAAGCTGAATCCCTTCACTTCATTTGAAAAACCACACCAAAATTACTTGATTTCATCACAAGAGCTCTTCATTGGCTCAAATGGCGATTTAGGGTTTCTCACAGGAGATATGAGGCGCACCCAAGGTCATAAGTTCCTTTAAATAGACTCCAACCCCGGAACTTAGGGTTTTCTCTGCCCAGTACCTACTCGACGAGTCCATCCTTGGACTCGTCGAGTCCGCTCATTAAATCTACGCGGCAATCTCGACTCGACTCGGCGAGTTGGTCCCTCAACTCGTCGAGTCCCTCCTCAAATCTCAAGATTAACATACACAATCATGTCCCTGGAAATCCGGTTGTTACAGTTTATATTACCATTTTCTTCATATTTCAAGCATTTTCTTTATCTTTTTGTCCTTTTCTTTTCTTTTTGCTTTAACTTAAATCATTTAAAAGGAAAGATGAAGAAGAAGGATATGTATGTACAGATCAACTCATTTACATTTATATCACAAAATAGAAATAATTTCATAGATTTATAGAATTACAAAGACAAAATTGCAAAAATGGTCCCTATGGTATTCATTTTTTTGGGGTTTTAGTCCAAACTCCGACTTTTTTGGATTAGTGGTCCTTTTGAGCTAGTTTTATTGCGTTTTTGGTCCCTCTGAATAGTGAAATGACTGTAATACCCTTGGGATATTTATTTTCCATTTTTCTTTCATTTCTTTTTAAATCTAATACTAATTTATTTATTTTAATAATTAAAAAAATAACAAGGGGCCCACACACACTCTCTCTCTCCTAAATTATCATACACTTGGAGGTCCGACAAACACAATATAATTCTATTGAATGAAACTCACACACTTGTTACACAAAACAAACATTGCATATTATGCTCAAACTACAACCTGGACAAAAAATGGAGCACCTGATCATCTTGATTCTATACTCTCTACAAATCCACTGCTAAGAAGCCTCTCTACATATTTCCCCAATATATCCACTTCAAGATTCACCTTCTGCCCAATTTTCTTCAGTGGAATCACAACTTTCTGCTGTGTATACTCCACCAACAGGAAATTAAAACACTCCTCTTCATCAAACACATCCACCACCGTCAAACTAGTTCCATCCACCGCAATGAACCCCTTCGCCACTATAAAATTTAAAATCTCCGGCGACGTCTTCACCTTAATCCACAACGAATCCCCTTCCACCTCCATTGAAACAATCTCCCTTGTTCCATCCACATGCCCCTGCACGAAATGTCCACCCATTCGTGTTGATGGTTTCACAGCTATCTCCAAATTAACAACCGAACCTTTTTCCAATTCGATTAACGAATGTTTCAGGAGCCAACCCGACTTTGAATTCCAATCGCTCGGAGTTGAATTCTGTGACTGTTAAACAAGTGTCATTTACCGCTATGTTGTCGTCGCCGAGGTTGAAGTCTTCGAGGACGATCGGCGAATGGATTACCATGTCGAATGATTCGCCGGATTCGTCGAAACCTAGTTCCCTAACTTTTCCCATTTCTTCCACGATTCCGATGAAGAGGGATGCTATCTGGTTTCTTCGGTTGGGTTTTAGGGTAAGTGGTTTTGGTGTCTGCGATTTGAAGATGAGAGATGAAGGGAGTTTAGGTTTGAGATTTGTTAATCTAAGAGAGTTGTAAATTGTGAATTTGGGGATCGAGGTTTATGAAATCTCCAACTGGTTAATCCAAGAAACCAGGGAGAGAGAGAGAGAGAGAGAGAGAGAGAGAGAGATGTAGGCCCAAATTATTTATTTATTTTCTTTTTCATTTAAATTAAATAGAAAAAATATAAAAAATATATCAGAAGGGCATTATAGTCATTTCAATTTTACGAGGGACCAAATTTACGTACAAAATGGCCAAAAGGACCACAAATCCAAAAAAGTCGGGGTTTGGACTAAAACCTCAAAAAAAATGCATACTACAGGGACCATTTTTGCAATTTTGTCAATTACAAATTAAAATAGTACTAAATTTAGAAAGAAAAAAATCATTCACAGGGCAATGCCGTCTTGCCGGGTATGAAATATTGAAATACGAGAGAGTCGAAACCCCAAAAACACATATGCTTGGTGCAAACAGCAACTTGTGTTTGAATTCTTACTTGTCTGCAACTGCAACTCATCAAGCGCGCGACAAGTGCCGAGTGAGGGTCAGAGCGACCACCCGAATCGAGATGGAGATCGGTGGATTAGATAGCAACGGCCGGGAATTCAAGAGCGCCGATGAGATGTGGCGAGAAGAAGTTGGCGATTCACAAAAGAAGCTCGATTGGTATCGCAATGGTGTTGGCTACTGGCAAGTAGGTTTAACCCTCCTTTTCGTTTCACATAACAAATCCGTATAAACCCTAAAGAATTGTTTTTTTTTTTCGTGGTCAAAAGGGTGTGGATGCATCAGTCGATGGAGTTCTGGGTGGATATGCACATGTGAATGAGCCTGATATCAAAGCCAGTGAGGCTTTTCTCAATACCCTTTTGACTGAACTTGTTCCTAATGGCGGAAGAAACCAGCATCTTGTAGCTCTTGGTTACCTCTCTTTCTCCCTTTCTTCTTCTTCTTCAAGTACACTTGCTACTTAATTTTCTACTGAAGATTCTAATTACTTGATGGGCATATTGCAACATATAGCAACTAAAGTCGTTGCTAAAACCATCAAAATTTTGATGAACTTATGTCACCCATCAAATTCCATTTAGAATTTGTTGTGTATGAAGATTCCTTGTTGACTAAAACTTGTGCAGATTGTGGTTCTGGAATTGGAAGGGTGACTAAGAATCTTCTCATAAGATACTTTAATGAGGTAATAACTTTCAACACTTGGTACCTTATATACATAACTTAGGTACATTATGTATTTATGTTTTGCTCAAAAGATATATTATCATCTCTAGTTTCTGGATCTTTCTTGGATTTTTGACTTTATGTTTAGCACATTTTGTCATTAATTACTTGTAAAATTAATTGCTTGATTGTTTCTAGGTTGACCTTCTTGAACCCGTGTCACATTTCTTGGAGGCTGCTCGTGAAAATTTGGCTCCTGAAAATCTATCAGTCTCAGAGGAGCACAAAGCTTCCAACTTTTACTGTACTCCACTACAGGTAATTATTAATGTAAAATCATAAAATATACTGTTTAGTTGGATAGAATGGAATAACAAAGGAATGGAATGAGTCATTACATTCCAACATTCCATCATGATGTTTTATTGGCTTGTGTTCTTTGATTCCATCATACGAAACACTACATTGGTTTACTTTAATGACAATTTTTTTTGTTGTTTGAATTTTTACTTTCAGGAATTCACTCCAGATACACAAAGGTATGATGTGATATGGGTCCAATGGTGCATTGGGCATCTTGCTGATGATGACTTTGTGTCATTCTTCAAGAGAGCAAAGGTAACAATATGTAGTTTTATAAATACTTTCATTGATTTTTTTATTATATCATCCCACTTTCCTTTCTTCCTATAACATCAATGTATTTTAAAAATCTACACAATGACAACAATGTCACCACTTTTCATTGCTATAACTGAGTAGATTTTTAAAGTAAAGTGTTGTAATAAGAAAAAAAATAGTTGGGTATTCTTTTTAAGTTGTAACTTTTTACAAATTTGCCCACATTTGTTTATATGTAGGCTGGCCTTAAACCTGGTGGATTTTTTGTTTTGAAAGAAAACCTTGCAAAATCAGGTAGCAAGTCTCTCTTTACTTAATACAGAAAGAATGACTTAATAGAGAAAAAGTCAGGAAAATGAGACTTATTTATTTTCCCAAATACTTTTTATACATCATTATTTATCCAAAGTATATATATGGATATAGGATTTGTGTTGGATAATGAAGATAAGAGTATTACAAGGTCAGATGTATACTTCAAGGAACTCTTTACTCAGTGTGGCCTCAATATCTACAAGTTAAAGGTAATTCCTATTGTGTCTCATTATGCTTTTAAAGGTAGAGTGAAATTACTAATTTACCCTTGTGCATCAGGATCAGAAGGGATTTCCAGACGAGTTATTTGCTGTGAGGATGTATGCATTGACCACAGACACATTGAAAAAAGTAGGTGGATCAAGACCAAAACGAAAAGCAAATAGACCTGCAATCATCAAATGAAAAAGTTTTAAGGCTTGTTTTATTGTATGTAGGAGTAGTGATTTTGTTAACTTTAATTTATTGCTTGAAAAGGTTTCCATGTTTTTCAAATCCTTAATTATCTTGAGGCCTTTTACTCTAAATACTGTTACTGGGGGAACTATAATTTTTGTGGATTATGAGTTCATGTTTCAAATCAACTTTTCTTTCTTTCTCTCTTTTGTGTTATGGGTTATTATGGATATAGTTTAATACCAAATCTACTAAAAGTTGTACACATTATGACTTTGGTCTTTGGAAATTAGCAAGCTGCAGATAATACCTCATGCTTTGTGGTGTGTTTTACACACTAAAAGTTGTACACAGGAATAATAAGATAATATTAGTAATCTAACATTACATGCAAACATGACTTTAAGCAAATAAATAGAAAGTAATTTGGACGTTGTGTTTTTTTTCACCTGTGATATCAAGTTGTGAACGTACAAAAACTAAATTAAATAAAAAACAATGAACGGATATGGTAGAGATTTTTGCAAAAATCATGACCATTTTGATCAAATTGTTAATAAAATAAAAATAAAGGTAAAAATGTAACAATGCAATAAAAATAAGTTGAGTCACTATTATATCACAGAATCATATTACCATAAACACAATTTCAATAATCATCGACACAAAAAATACATATCAAAATCGCCTCATCTAAACCCTATAAAAAAGGCATCTTCAGTGTTCACTCATCTTTTCTTCTATCTAAATTATATTTAAAATCATTACTAATTTTTTTATAAAAACACATTAAACCACCGGACACTTCCTGAATTTAATCTCAGAGGCTGCATTTCACCGCCTACCCCTTCCTCTTCCTCTCCCTCCACCTCCTCCACCACCACCTCTTCCTCTCCCCCTTCCTCCACCACCTCCCCTCCCTCTGCCGCCACCTCCCCGCCCTCTACCACCACGTCCCCGACCCTGAAATCCTCCTCTATCAGACTTCAACCCCAGTGAATGCACTCCCCTTCTCTTTTCACGATGATTGAAACCATCATCATCATCATGATCATCAAACTCATCTTCCTTATACTTCCCTTTGCTTCTAGATATGAATGAAATCTCCCTTGATCCACCTGGTCCAGATTTAATCTTGTTTAAGGCGTTTGAACCTTGATTTCTATTTGTTAGAGCTTTTATTCTCTCTTCTAATGGCAAAGCATCTTCTTTAGCAAGTGACCTCCTGTTTCCAAATGCTTCTGCATGCCTCTCATCCTTCACTTCATACAATCTGCATTTTTTTTATAAAAAATTATAAAATAAATAATCCTTCTTGAAAAAGTTGTTTTCATGACAATAATGACTTAACTAGAGTGATATTACCCCGCAAACCAAATGGAACCTATCAACATACGAAAGTTTAGGGACCAAACCTGACAATATACAAAAGTCTGAAACCCAAAAAGTCTAGTGACCAAATCTATTAATATACGAAAGTCTATGGACCAAACCTGCCAAGTTATAAAAGTCTTGTGGCCAAACTCTGAAACCCAAAAAGTCTAGGGACCAAATCTACCAATATACAAAAGTCTAGGGACCAAACCTGCAAATTTATAAAAGTCTTGTGGCCAAATTCTGAAACCCAAAAGTCTAGGGACAAAACCTGCCAATATACAAAAGTCTAGGGACCAAACCTGCAAATTTATAAAAGTCTTGTGGCCAAATTCTGAAACTCAAAAGTCTAGGGACCAAACTTGCGAATTTATAAAAGTCTTGTGGCCAAATTCTGAAACTCAAAAGTCTAGGGACCAAACCTGCGAATTTATAAAAGTCTTGTGGCCAAATTCTGAAAATCAAAAGTCTAGTGACCAAACCTGCGAATTAATAAAAGTCTTGTGGCCAAATTCTGAAACCCAAAAGTCTAGGGACCAAGCCTGCGAATTTATAAAAGTCTTGTGGCCAAATACTGAAACCCAAAAAGTCTAAGGACCAAATCTGCCAATATATGAAAATCTTGTGGCCAAAAGTATGAAACATACAAAAGTGTTGTGGCCAAAGTCTCAGACTCAAAAACTAATGTGGCCAAAGTCTCAAAGCAAATAATAAATAATAATTTTTTACCTTGGAGCTCGAGTTTTCTTTCCATCTTTAGTTTCATCATCAGAAGGCTGAGAATCTTCATCAGAATCAAATTCATCTTCTTCATTAAAAGGCTCAAAGTGTTCCTTCACTAATGAAGGCTGCACTGGTGTAGCTAAAGGATGCAATGCACGATACTCCAAAGAGTTTTCATCCACTTCGAAATCCTGATAACATTTTTATAAAAAAAAAAAATAAAAAAAAAAAACATGAGCTACAAAAATGAAAAAATGTAATCAAAAAAAGATAATGATAATGATACCTCATTTTTGAAAAGAGAAGTGAAACGTTCATCTTGAAGAACATCAGAAGTGAGCCCTTTCCTTTTCTTTGATGGTTTTTTAGTGGTGTCAACATCAACATCAACATCAACAGCAACATCTGTTGTATCTTTTTTTATGGCTTCTAATTCTTCATCTTCAAGAAGACGTTTTGCAAGAACCCTATTAACCTTAGGCAGTTTCTTCTTAATCTGCAACAGAATTATAAAAAAAAAATTATGTTGTTTTATTTTTCTGTATTTCCTAATTTGCCCTTCTTTAAATACTAACCGTAATACGCGTGCTACGCTCCTCCTCATCCTTCTCCTTTTTCCTCTTCTCTAAATACTCTTCATAAACAACAGGATTAGCTGCTGCATGTGCCTGAAAAACACATTTTAAACATACAATAACAAATTTGTTTTAATCAAAAAAAGTAAAATCAAATCACTGAAATAGGAAATTACCTTTTTATAAAGACGAAAATCAATAAAGTACCCATGCATGTAAGCTCTTAGAAGATTTGTGCCAATTAAATTTGTCAAGTTCAATTTTTCAAGATCATCTTGTGTCAAAAATTTGTAATCATCATAAATAGTAGTTTCAGCATCTTCCTCCATCTCTTCCTACATATATACAAAGGCATAAAATTTAGGAAGAAATATAATAAAGAAATCAATGAGAATTGATGCAATTATGCAAATATGCAAAATTAGTAAATAATGTTTGTAAGACATACTGTTAAATTCTCCATGTATGAACACCACTTTGGAGCGGGCCCCAGGGCTGGTAAAAAATAAGAAGGGATTTGACTTGTGTCTAGAGCCAATAGCATTAATCCACTTTCATCAAATACACACATGTCATTAATTTCTCCACCTGTTGGCTCAATACTTGTCATTCCTTCCCCCTGAATGGAATCAAAATCAGTAATTTTGGTATATGATTGAATCCAAGGAATGGAATTGTTTATTCCATCTTGTTTATTCCATCTTTTGTTTGTTGGAATTGAATGAATCATTCTTGAAGTAATGTGAAATTGTGATTCATGGAATGGAATGAAAATTTTCAATACAACCCATTTTTGGTTATTGAACTTTTTATTATATAAAACTTTGTTAAGTAATTTTTAAGGGAAAAAAAAAGAAAAAAAGGATCTTACTGTTTCTGGATCCCAAATTCGGACAATATGCTTATCAGTAGTAATTAGTTTTGGTTTCTCTGAGTTCAAAGTTTGATGCCATTTGATGTTTAATATAGGGCTTCCATACCTATAAAATATTGTCAGATATCAAGATTTATTTTTTATATATTATAATATATAAATTGGTAACTTACATGTGATCTTTTACTCGAATAGGAGAAGATGAACGCAAATCATAAATCATAACCTGAAAGTTTATGGAAATAAACCTTATCATTTAATTAAATTGATAAAAGAAACTAAATCATCAGAAAAAAAAAAGAAAAAAAAAATCGGTTTGACTTTATAAAACATACCTTTCCACCACTACTTCCAACAGCCATGTGATAGCCTCCATCTCCATCAAACTCTATAGCAGTAACCTCCTAAATAATACAATCAAATAATTGTGTGATTTAATTAAATCTTTATAAGATCCATAAAGTTTTTTATTATTATAACTTGTAAAAAAATAAATAAATAACCTGATCACCATCATTGACAGGTGTCACTGCGTTAAGCCTTGCAATGGAAGATCTTGTTCTCATGTCAAAGCATTCAACAGCACCATCCTCACCACCACCAGCAACTAGCCCATGATACTTGCTGAATTTTCATTAAAAAATAAATAAATAATATAAATATTAATATACTTCTATCTTTTCTTACATTTAACCATAAATTAAATGTAAACAAAAAAAAGGAGTAAGTTTATGAATGAAGTCAAACTAACCTTCTAGAGACTACATTTAATGCTGGAGATTGTGTTGTAAGAGACGATAGGAAACGTCCCTGAATAAATAAAAAATAAATAAATAAATAAAAATTAACTCCAACCATAAAACATAAAAAGTAACAACATTTCTTAGATATATGAAACAGAGTTTTTATTTTTATAATGTTTCAGGTAACAAGAAAGTTCTGTTTTTGACACCAACAAAATTGTAGAATCAAAAAGTTAAAAAAGACACTAAGGGTAAAACCGTAAAAGACATGAAGGGAGAAAAATTGCAATTTTTTTAACAAACCTGTTCTAAGTTAATTCTGTATAAATCTGGAGATGAGGCTGCACATATTAAGTCACATGACCAGTTATCATATATAATATCCCTCCCCATTCTGCTCATAAAAGAAAAGATCAGAGTCAGATATATATGTACATATAATTAAAGAAAAAGTAACATTTAATTTCATAAAATAATATCATAAGAGAAAATGTTAAGTACCTTGGGATCCGTAAACTGTAATGGCTTCCATATTTAGCATGTAGACAAATAGAACGATCAGCACATAGGAAAGCTAGCTTTGAATAGTCATCACTCAACACCTGTTTTTCAAATAGATGTTATAATAAATAAATAGATGAAAGTATGTTGCAAATTTTTTATATAATCCAATTCAATGCTTAAGAAAAAAGGTACCTGAAAATTGATTATTTCTGATATAAGATGCCTTTCGAACTTCAATGATAGTTCCCTTAACTCGTATACTTTGACTTGAGGAGGGTAAATACCTACAACTCTTGATAGTCAGCAAAGTATATAGGACAATTCTACTAAATATGTCAAGCACATAGCTGTATAAAGTACAAAAATACTATATCACAAGTTTCCAATAACCTGAAGCAATGAGAAATTCGCCATCTGGGGTAGCTTTAATTCTAGTTGTTGCAGTTTCAAATCTTAAATCTTGTATCAAATCCACCCTTTCCAGATAATCTATATACAGGAAAATGAAGTTGTTAATGGTAACAAAGAAGAATATGAACAGACTAGTGACAAATGGTACAGATGCAATTCAAATGCAAAGTTGTGAAGAAAAGAAGGGTAATGCATAAAATCCCTACTTTTGTCTTTGCGAAGAGCTCTAATCTTCTTTGGCGCAAGCCAAGTGGCCAGTGACTTGTGTTGTCCTGCTACTGTGTACATCTTCACTCCATTTATGGAGGTCGACTTCAGGTTCCCTCCTTGGTATGCCATCGTGGCTACTATCGTTGCACGTTCCAAACCTTAGGAGCTGTATAATAAAATCCAAATCAGGGTTATGTTAGGTTTTCAAAACCAAAAATTATATTTAAAAGCAGAAAATAAGTTGATTATATATCGAATTAGTATTGCAGAGTAATTCTTCCTTTCCGATGAATGTTTTACATATATAGATTTGCTGAACATTTATAACAGAAAAAGGAAACCAAGTGTGATATATAGAATTGAATTCCTATACGAAAACAATTACAGGCTGAAAGAGATGGAACCTCTTACGTTGGCGTCCAATGGGAGAAACAAGCGCCGATGGCGAAACAGTGTGCTCTCAGGGGAAGGGGAAGGAATAAAACCCTACAGTCAATATTTTGATAGCGAAAACCCTACGTTCAACCTTAAGCCGAGCCAACCTAACCAAAGCATAAACAAAACCAAAAAACAATTAAATAACAAAAAATTTGAAATTTCTTTTAGTTAATACTAATAGTCCTTAGCTGTGAGAACATATATTACATAAGTTAATTTAAAAAAAAAAATTAAATATAAATGTCAAAATATTTGAAAACTTTGAATTTATAAGAAAATAAGAAAAATAATGAATTATTATGATATAAATGTTTTTTATCTTTTAAATTTAAACAGATAATTTAAATAAATAAAAGAAGAAATACAAAATTGCAAAAATGGTCCCTATGGTATGCATTTTTTGGGGGTTTCAGTCAAAACCTCGACTTTTTTAGATTCATGGTCCTTTTGGCCTAGTTTGTACGTAGAATTAGTCCCCCGACTTAACTTCCGTTAAGTTGTTGTTGTTGACCCCCTCATGTGTCATCCACATGAGGGTATATTTGTCTTTTCACTCATAAGGGACCCTGAAAAAATATATCCCCCTTTTTTAAAAAAAAAATATTTATTTATTTATTTTAATAATTAAAAAATAAAAGACGACTTTCTCTCTCTCTCTCATCAGATTAACTTCACATATAAACACAGGTACCTACATATACTTTTAGAGAGAGAAAGAGAAAACCCCCCATTAATCTGTATATATATAGAAAGACAAATGACGTCGTTGGGTATCAACGAGAAGGTTGAGCTTATGCAAGCTCAGTGGTGTCGTTAGTGGGTTCGATGGGTTTGTGACTAGAACACCCTTCATATTCAGGTTATTCATTTGTGCTTGTTCGTATTCCTCTTTGAGGGTTGATTCGGTGATTCTAAAACCATTTGGAAGAAGGCAAGTTTCTTCAAGAGTGAATATATTAATGATTATCGTTTTTTAATACAATTGATTCAGGATTGTTCTTGATCCATGATTCTAGAAGGTTGAAGGAGAGCTGATTTGAACGAGACCCAACCGAATGATATCGTTGGGATTTTCATCTCCTTCAAACAAACCCCTCGCCATCGACCCTCCCCCATGCATGTAACTAGAAAGAAAGCTAACCCAGTCCACATACCAATATGATATTATTATCCAAATTATGAGTCACTGGTCTGGTGGGATAAAAGTGGAGAAGGATAAAGATGTGTTAATAACAAAATACTGTCACACCCCAAAACCGGAACGGCGGAAACGTTCGGGGGTGGAGGACGTCATGTTCAGTATCAC